TCCTATTTAAAAAACGCCTAGATGACACACTTTCCAACTTGCATTATTTGGCATAGCACGTCCTAATTCGGAGGACGAAATAACGAGACCCAAACCATGAGGTTACTGACCCTCCCCGCAAAGTGGCGGTGATGTTACATACAGAAGTGTCCCAATGAGCGACATGGATGTATACAAACTGGAGTAACGTACCACATCTCTCAACGGAAGCAACACACGAGTGAGCGTTATCCGTTCCTTTGATTTCTTTTTCCCACATTTGCTGTAATATAACAGCTCTACTTTGGGTGCAGACATCCAGTCCATACTTCAAACTATCATTATGAATTGGTGCGTTGCAATCTGTAGAGGCTTAAAAAACGATTTACTTGTTCGATTATCCTTCCATTTTATCTATTGCTCCAAGCACCTTACGGGACCTGTCAAGCATATGCTTTTTTACCCGTTATAAATCATTGTTCATTGTTCATGCGTGTACACCAATGCTCAAAACCTCCCCAGCAAAATCTCCGAGGTTGGTTTGCGTCAGGAAAAAACTTTTGGGATCTCATCACCAACAATTACCTCGGTGAGGCACCTCCACGCCGCTGCAAGCCGCTAAACTACGCACTAGTGTTGTCATCCCGATTGGTGACGAAACGACTGTAACCAAATTTCCAAGCTCTACAAACATTCAACCACCAAACTGGTCTAAATTCAACAAGAGGCTGTCTAAAGAACTTCGGTAGAAGGCAGCGGTTATACGACCATGGGTGGCTACGACTCATTAGTAAAACTTTCTATCATATAAGTACGAAGAAATTGCTTTGATGACAACCCCAAAATCAGACGGAGGAAGACTAAACAAGGGTGCCTATCAGCATCAGGGTAGCTGCGATCAGTAGTTTAATCCAACCGAATATGAAAGGACAGCAGCTAAACAAAAGTGACTAGTAGGCGACCTCTCGACAGTCGGCACACTCTATCTGCTTAGTTAAGTTTCCATTCACTCACTTTTAATTACTGTGAACCCGTACTGGTTGCACACAAATGCACAAGGTGGTCGAACTCCGTCACTGTCAGGCATCCGAGGCTCGAGATATCATAATGATCATTGAAACATGGCTGAGTTAGGAAATTGCTGACGCTGAATTCGTTCTACCCAGGATGTCGCTTCTCCTGAATGACAGCATGGGTAGGGGAGGGGGAGTGATCAGTTATTACAAAACAAACCTCTGTGCGCCCATAGATGATCCTCACACGCATGTCATTGATCTCCTTGGTGCAAACTGTGCTTGAAGAACAACGACATACGTCTTGTGTCTGTAGTTTACCTACTACCCAAATCCACTCCGGAAATGGACCATAGACTAATACCTGCACTACGCATTGTGATCAATCAGAAATACACCCATATCCTCATCACAGGTGATTTCCACATTCATGATTTGGAAACTTCAGCAACCGAGGCGGAAGGGTTCAGGGTCTATTTAGAAGAGCTAATCTATAACACACCCCTATACAACCACCACAACGATCCTACCAAGTTCAGAACAGCGAATAAGCCATCAAGGTTGGATGTTGTGTACACCAGCGAGGAGCTCATGGTTGATGGGCTAAATATACACAGTCCTCTGGGACGTAGCGATCACGTGACTTTACCGTTCGATTACATATGCTACGCCAAGTTGCCCAAAAGGATGCAATCTATTAGGTATTATCAGGTTTTGTCCACCTTGGTTGACAATGCTACTTGGACATTCATGACTGAGTACACCTCAGAGATGGTCTGGTAAATGTTCACGTCACTTTACGTCACTAATCACAAAAGCATCCGAGCCAAAATGCTTCCACGGCCCCTTCAAACCAAAATTCTTCCTGAGAAGCCGAACACGAGAATTTATGGCCTTGAGGGTTTGGGCATGGCTTAGTTAAAAACAATCCCATCGCAGAAGATTGAACCGCGAACGTAACTCAGCGCAATTATTTGGTAAAGTTTGTTCGTGAAGACGATATTACACCAACAGTAGCTCGCGAAACGATTCTGTGCAAACCTCAAGCCAGCCACTTTACAGACACTTGAATGGACTTTGAAATGTGCAACGCGGAATCCAAACACTCACTAGGATTGATGGGAATATACACAGAGTAAAAGTGGCGATCGACGCCTTACGGGCCCAGTACTTTCCTGCTTCCCAAGTGGTACAAGCCTCAAACATTATGCGTGCTTCAATCACTACGCCATCAGTGTTATAAAGCATCTCGTTCACAGACGCACTGGTGTTGAAAAAGTTACTGTCCTTGCGCATACACAGCTCTGTTGGAGTAGATATCATTTACCATAAAGCACTTCAAGTAGCATCCATTCAGCTAACTCAGCCACTTGCCGGATTCTTTCGGCGTTGTTTAAACGATAACATAGTTCCGACAACGTGAACAAGAGATATTATAACCCCCTTCACAAAGGAAAAATTTGGTCTGATTCTGCCAATTACCGTCCGGTAACGCTTCTCGCTGTGCTTTCCAAATTCATGGAAGTGCTCATCGTGAACTTATTGATGGGCTACCTAGAAAGCAACATAGCGCCTGGGCAGCATGGATTACTTAGACCTCGATCATGTATTATGAATCTGCTCATAGAATTGACAGCTCGACTGAAACAGTCGACGCGGGGACATGAATCGATGTCATTTACATGGACTTTTCGAAAGCCTTCGATCGCTTGGATCATCGAATCCACCTGCGCAAACTGCGGCTCTACGGTGTCAGTGAGCCATTATAAGGATGGGTTGGTAACACTCTCTGTGAATGGCACTTAGGAATTAGAGTCCCAATATCTGTCCGACCCGATTAGAGTGGAGTACGACGTAACGCAGGTTCCGGTAGTTGGACCTTGCTTGTTCTTAGTTTGCACCAACGATCTAGCGACAGTTATCGCATAAAAAACCTTACTTTTCGAAAATGACGTCAAAATTTGGCGGGCGAGCAAGGAAATGGACGACCAGGAGATCCACCAGCGTGACGTCGATGAGGCGTGGCATTAGTCGGTGAGGAATGGAATGCCATTCGATGTGAACAAGCGCCAGGTTGTCCACGTCCACAATAGACAAGCCTATATCTACAAACCGGGGGTGCACAATCTACAGACAAGCCCACAGGTACGTGACCACGATGTGCTGGTACAGGACGATCTTGGTCGTTCCAGACAGTCTGAATCCGCTTCAAACAATTAACTAGCATGTTGAGCTTGCGGATGGCATTTGGGAGTTTGGATTCCTCCGTCTTCTCTCTGATGCTCAATGCGCACGTGCGTCCCCAGGTCGAATACGCAATCCAGGCTTGACATCCTTGGCTAAAGCGTCAACTTGCAGCGCTCGAAACTCGCCTATTTCGAGCAATAAAATCTGTCAAGCGATTGCACTACCTTCTGTACCAAGTCAACTCAAGTCACGAATTCGCTTTTATGCACCCATGAAGGGTGAATTTTTAACCACGACTAAAGTCGCTCGGAATGCTCAGTGGATACTACAGGCGACTACTTGGAGACCTTATATTTGTCTATCAGATACTGATCGACCCCACTCACATATGCCGCCACCTACTGAAACTCAGTCTGAACACGAACTTCAGAGGCAATAGCCTCAGACTGAATCAACGATACAGTCCTCTCGATTGTTGACGAAATACCGCCTCCCCCGGAGTCCGCCTATCCTGAAACGCCTTTCCAAAAGCAGTTGTCCATGTCCTTACATAAGCTCTTTTTACAAAATGCTTGAATGTCGAATTGAACAATCTCTACTTTGTTACCTGAACGGATATACTATATTTATTCTGGCTAACCAGCCACTTTGGATTTATTACCCACTGTGACGCACGCAAGTTTGTGCAGAGGGGTGAACAATCGGTTTTACTTGCCATGAGTATTTATCATTACAACTTTTTATTTGCTTTTGCCTGTACTGACTCAACCCTAGAA